CGCCTCGTTGTCTGCAATGACCCGAAAGCAATCAGGACATTCCCATGTGTCAGGATCCCCAGCCTTGCGCAAATTCTTGCGAGCTCCGCCCGGCTTCCGGGACTGGCTGGGATGGGGCTGCTGCCTATCATCAGCCGGCTTGCTGGCGTGCTTTTCTGTTGGGACCGCCGCAACCGGCTTCTCTGAAGTCTTCTCTCCATCAACGCCCTCAGGCGCAGCAGCAACGTCCTCAGACGGCTTTGCTACAGAGTCTGCAGCAGGCTCCGATGGCCCACGCCGATCAGAGCGACTCCGGGACCTCGTCGAAGAGCTCGAAACCATCGCCGCACACCTGCAGGAAACCGTCATGGAATCTATGCCACAAGAAAAAAAAATATTTATATATATGTATATATAGATACAGAATATAGATATAGAATTAGGAATATATAATATAAACATGTCTATATATACAAAAATATTTCTGTTATTCAGGCTGTTGTTTGTGGTTGTGTTTGTGGTAGTGGTTGCCCACAGGCCACTTGCCACGCAGCAGCCCGCAGGCCACTTGCCACGCAGCAGCCCGTAGGCCACTTGCCATGCAGCAGCCCGCAGGCCACTTGCCACACAGCAGCCCGCAGGCCACTTGCCACGCAGCAGCCCGCAGGCCACTTGCCACGCAGCAGCCCGCAGGCCACTTGCCACGCAGCAGCCCGCAGGCCACTTGCCACGCAGCAGCCCGTAGGCCACTTGCCACGCAGCAGCCCGTAGGCCACTTGCCACGCAGCAGCCCGTAGGCCACTTGCCACGCAGCAGCCCGTAGGCCACTTGCCACGCAGCAGCCCGCAGGCCGGCAGAAAATGCACAACGTGTGTATGTTTGTATGTGTATGTTTGATATATATATATACATACACATGTGTATATATATATACATATAATGTGTGTGTATGTAAAACATGTAAACACACACACATATATAATCCCTTCCTCCTAATACTAAACGTCCCCCTAATACTAAAAACAGGCATCCATCTCCAATTTCCGAAAATTTCAGTTTGGCCAATTTGACTTTTAATTGATCCCCTTTAAAAAACAATTTAAAAATCAACCTACCATTTGTGGGTTCTCCCCCCTAATACTAAAAACTAGTTCACCCCGGGGTGTTTAGTATTAGGGGGGCCTAGTCCCAATCCCTCACTCCAAGCTGCCTAGCTACTCTAGCAATTAGGGGTAAGCTTCTAACTGCCATTTTTGGCAATATTTTAATTGCGTTATATAAGGAAATTTAATTGATTTTGAGATCGGAAAAAATAGTTTTTAGTATTAAGGGTTTTAATTTAGTATTAGGGGTAAGCTTCGAACTGCCATTTTTGGCAATATTTTAATTGCGTTATATAAGGAAATTTAATTGATTTTGAGATCGGAAAAAATAGTTTTTAGTATTAAGGGTTTTAATTTAGTATTAGGGGTAAGCTTCGAACTGCCATTTTTGGCAATATTTTAATTGCGTTATATAAGGAAATTTAATTGATTTTGAGATCGGAAAAAATAGTTTTTAGTATTAAGGGTTTTAATTTAGTATTAGGGGTAAGCTTCGAACTGCCATTTTTGGCAATATTTTAATTGCGTTATATAAGGAAATTTAATTGATTTTGAGATCGGAAAAAATAGTTTTTAGTATTAAGGGTTTTAATTTAGTATTAGGGGTAAGCTTCGAACTGCCATTTTTGGCAATATTTTAATTGCGTTATATAAGGAAATTTAATTAATTAATTAACATGACTTCGATTTGGTTCCCTAATGATAAATACCCCCCTAATACTAAAAACTACCTGCCGTGTTTTGTATTAGGGGGGGGTTTAGTATTAGGAGGAAGGGATTATATATATACATTATCAAAATGATCTACTCCCCGGCAGCCCCGCCTGCGAGCACGAAGAAGCTCCGACAGAGAAAAAACCCTGGAACGGAGCTCGAGCCAAAACACTGAGCAGCACAAATAGGTTAGCGTCATCAGCGAAGGCAGTCCAACATGGCTCTATAACTCCGATCTCAAAACATCCTGCACGGCTAGCAACACACGTTTCAATTTTACATGTCCAGTTGCAATGAAAGAAGTTCGTGTCAGTGATCCAGCAGCTATAGCATCCAGCTAGTCATCATCGCTCCACTCCGACATAAACAAATAGGCTTTCGCCTTGCGAAGAATCCTGTGCGCCTCATTCGTAGGCAAGGTGGGATCGTGACGCAGCCGAGACTGCATCTCCAGCAGCTCCTCATGGATAGGAAAGTCTTCCAATGGATATCCCCATTCTTCAGCGTTCTGCTCCACTTTGCGAATCACTTCCCTCAGATGCGTCAAAACTTTGGCGCGCCAGCGGATCAACGCCGGCGGAGTACCCGCAGGTACATGAACGTCGGGAGTGACAGGAGCGGCTTCTTTGCTTGACCAAAGGTCATCTAATGTCCTGCATCTAATCTTGGTCCACTTACCACGTCTATCTCCCAGACGCAGCTGCACGGTTCCATCAGCTAAGGTCTTGGAAACGACGCCCCTGACTTGCTGCATGTCCTATTGCAACACAAAGCTTGCACGTTTCTTCTACAAATGAAAAACGAATTGCTGCAGCACATTACCAGACATAAAGATGAGAAGTACGGCACATATACAGACTTAAACATCTTATACATATATCATATATATATATGTTTATATATCTATAAATACATATATATATACTTAACTTGTAATTTCTGTGAAAGGTGCCATGCATGATCTATAAGGGCCCCCGCAAAGCAAGACTCTTTTTCACAGCACGGCAATGAAGAGATCCTAGTGCTTTACTTCACAAGGAATCCCCGTTTCTCCCAACAGGAACGGCAACAGCCACGGCGTCCTCGACATGTTGCGCAACCATTAGGCTGCAGCTGAAAGCGCTTCTTCTCGGACAACGGCTTCAATGCATTCTTCTTCTTGGCGCCCTGCTTCCGCACAGCTCCGTTCTTCTTGGCCCCCTGCGTCTGCGCAGCTTGACCCTTCTTGGCGCCCTGCTTCCGCGCAGCTGGAACCTCCTTGGCGGCCTGCTTGCGCACAGCTGGAACCTCCTTGGTGGCCTGCTTGCGCACTGCTGGAACCTTCTCTGCGGCTGCAGGTCGCTTCTTTGCAGAAGCTGCAGCAAGAGACTTGTCAATCTCGTCCAAAGAAATCACATCCTCCTTGGAAGCTGGTTTCTTGAGGACAACCGCAGCAGCCGGTCTCTTCAATGCCTTGACACGTGGCTTCTTCCCTGTCGTAGAAGGAACCTCCGGCAAATCCTTGCCGTAGTGAACATGAGCAAGTTTTTGCACTGACTCCGCCACTGCGCTCGGCAGACTCGCAAGAGCTTGCTCTCGCTCCATCCCCACAGGTGCACTCGCACCATTTCCACGCGCTTCAATTTCCACAAGGTCCCTTTGTGCTGTAGCAGCACTGGCAGCCACATCTGCGCTTGGCTTGGTTTCCACATGTCCGCTGTCTGATGCAAGCACACTTGCAGGTACAGCTGGACTTGCAGGCATAGAAGCAGTAACAGCAGCTGGAACTGAAGCTAGCGTCTCCGCTGCACGTGCTCCATCCCGCTTGGCTAAATCAGCAGCAGCTGCTGTTGACTGCTCCAAGCGAGAAGGAGTCGATGCAACAGACAGATTGCTACTTGAGGTGTCTGCTCGATCCAGCAGCCGTCGCAGACCGTCCCCATGAGACCCAACCGTCTCAGCCGCAGTCGGGCGTTGAAAAATCTGCAAATTCTTCAAAGACGCTTCTTCTTGCCTGGGCTGCATGACTCCCACCATTGCCTGAGCCATCATCGTAGCCGTTTGCGCCAACATCTGATGCTGCATGGCAACAGTCCCATGCGTAGCAACCAAACCTTGTCCTTGCATTGCCTGCTGCAACACAATCTGCTGGTTGCGGCTGCGCAACGGGGTCCCACGTGCTGCCTGCCAAATCTCGTCCACATTCACTCCTGCTGGAACTGGTACAATCTGCAGGGTCGCCAAATGATTCCGATATGCCGCTGGCAATGCATCTTGCCCTGCAGGCAACACATCCAAATAGATATTAGCCGGCAGCTGCACTCCCATGTTCTTGGCCCTGGTGACCACCGTGCGCAAGAGTGACTTGATTGTCTGCAGCAGCGCACTTTGTTGTCCAACCTGCATGCTCCCACCAAGCAAAGACACAATGACAGATTGTGTCGGTTCCGATGCGTGCCTGAGACCCAAGGATTGCACCAAATAGGTGCAAAGCAGTTCCGCCTTGCGCAGATGCGACAAAGTCGCAGAAGTACTCTGAAGCTGATCCCACAACTGCGCTGTCAAATACAACGGAAAGTTGCGGAAATCTTGCATGGCTGCTCTTCTTTGCAAGTCTCCCATGACTTTTCTATCTCTTTCCTAGTTTGCCGTACCTTGAGCCTGCAAAACCATCAACTAACGTGCTAACAAACTAGAGTCCAAAAAACACGCTTCACAAACGTAACTTACGTAACTCGTTTGTATCTTTTATCATCTTCTAAGCTAACTTAAGTTCTAAGTCAACAAGTTAGTTGTATTTTTTTGATAACTTATACAACATACAACATAAGATGCCCCCCCTTACAACTTAACATATCCTACCTTACAACTTACTTCTATCTAGGGGGCTTCACTTTGTATGTATGTGCAAACTAGGCAACTAACAAGACCTAGCTTCCAGGCGCTATATTAAATTATTTTAAGATATACTATACATAATTAATCATAATATTATCAAAATATAGACAGTGCGTAATACAGAGTCTTATCAGTGTTTGTTCCCATCCTGTCCCACCTAGTCCACCTTCCAACTTGAAATGCGAAGTTACTAGTCGATCTTTCAAATGGGAGGCAATCTCAACCATTCATTTCAGATTCCGGTCCAATTCTTCCCATGTCGCTATGATTTCAGCGTCATCCTCGGCAGCTTGGGTACTCCAACCCCATGGGACGCTTAAATCCGTCCTCATCTTCGCGATTCAGCATCACAAAGCTGACCTCAAACTCGGCGCTGAGATTTTCATGTCAGGACCCACCAAACGTGTGCAAGCTGTGCAACATGACACGGGAGCATCATGACTTCAACTCAAATAATCTCAAATCCACATCGTAAATCGTTGTATACTGAAAGCTACGAAAGTGGGGAGTTCTGTGCACGTGAAATCCACAAGAGCATCACAGTGAACATAAAGGTCTTACCATTTAGTCCCATCTGCCTACGGATGAATCCCATTTCTGGGAGTTCACAATAAACAGACTCAGTACATTCACCAGAGTTTCTCATGGTTTTGTCTTGTACCCCCTGGAAATCAAACATGGTTTTTGCTGAAAAACCAAATAAATAATCAATATAGCATAATATACAGTATATATCCATTTAAATGCCCATTTATAGGGGATTTTCGATTGCCATCTTGATTGCCAAAGGGGGAAAGGATGGCTTTCCGTTGCCAATCTTAGATCCCCTTCAAAAACATGCATGTTCTGCTGCTCAGTCCATATGCCCATCAGAATTGCAAAAGCTCAAAGTATTAACCTACCCATCACCAGCTCGTTTCCCTAGAACTTTTGCTTAAACATCCACTTTTGATGGTTAAATGAAGTTAAATCACATTCATTTATATACATATCTATATCTGATCTAGCTGCTCATGACTGCATCCTCATCTAACTACACTCAAGATATGCATATTATTATATTATAATTATTAGTTCTTGATTCAACCACAGTTGTTGACGCTCAAATTGCCCAATTTTTGGTGGCAGCCCTCTACCACTTCACTGAGTTGGTTGACCAAGGAATAGTCCTCCAGCAGCTGGCAGAATGCTTCGTTGAGCAGTCGAAACCTCGAGGCCGGGTGACATAAGGGCCAATATATGTCCCAAATCAATCCAAATCGCTGTTTTGCATCACTGAGATTCATTGAGTTGAGTCTTGAGTCTTGAGTTTGTGATGAATTGGATGATTTGAGGATCGATTTCGGCGAAATTAAGCCAATATCGAGTTAACATTTGGCCAAACCCCAGTCCAGCGTCTGCCACAGAACATCACTGTTTGCAATTGGCGTGAGATGGCTGTGACAAGCTGATAGAATTCAAACATCGTCGACCACAACTGGCTGAAATTCTGGACTTGAAAATTGCTATTTGAACATCATCCACTCATTTGCGCAATCTCCACGATCTATTCCGTTGATGTTTCGAATCCTGAACCTGGGTTTGTCTGAAAATATGGAAGCCCCAAAAGTTGAAGCTTCAACATACAGTATTCATCATATTTCTGGGTAAATTATATTAATTCACTAACCTAAATTTTTAGGCCATTTGGATGATTTCCCTTCTAACAATTTCTGAAAACCATGATTCCAGGGCTCGGGAGAACACTGAGGTCGTGATGAAAAATTTACCCAGATCATATTCACTATAGATTCCCCTTAAATGCTGGGATTTTCCATTGGGACATATTGATTACCCATATGGCCCATATATTTCATCATATTTCATCATATTTCATCATATTTCATCATATTTCATCATATTTCATCATCATATTTCCGTAGATCATCGTAGATCTCCTTAAATGTCTGACGGTGACGGTCTTCTTTGGCCTTGGATGGGTCGACTTTCGCAGATCCGCCAACATGGCCTGCGTTGCAAAAAGCGCTGCGCTGCAGATTCGTGCTGCAGATGTCGAGCAACATCGAGCAGTTCTGCGTGTGAAGTACCAGTTGATCCAGTTGTATCCAGTTGATATTTGTTGCATCAATCGGTTAAAATTCCACACAAAGTTGCCTTTTTGATATGTTTTGATCAACATTGATCAACCATTTTGGGAATGTTGCATCAGTTTCTAAAAGTTGGTCAACTGGTAAAAGCTATATAGAGTTGATCAAACATTTTGGGGATGATTTTCCGACTATAGAGGGGTTGTTTGAAGTCGTTGCAACATGTTGGGAACATGTTGCAACAGATACAGCTTGACTGGTCATTATCATCCAATCATCCAAGAATCTTTGAGCAGTTGTAACCTAGACGCAAACAACATCAAAACACATGGGTTGTGCACCTTAAAAGCTTCCAGAAACACGTGAGTCTGTCTGTCCAGAAGTTACTTCCTCAATCATTTTCCATGACTGAACAATGGCCATCTGTGTTGTCGCGGTTTCCCCCAATTTTGTGTCATACAATAGCCTCCTGCCTGCGTGTCCCCATCGGTGTATCTCTCCACATCTGCCTGTCTTGACGATCAACACCCTGGTACACAAAGGGGAACAATATAGCTGGTTGCTATGGATAATCATCATTGTTCATCCCCCCAAAAAGATTCCATTGGAAGGTCAAAAATATGATGTATGGATATGTATGGGGTATATGGTCATCCCATGTCATCCCACCATCACTAGGGATTCTTTATCATCGGTATCGTATTTATTTATGAGGAATGACCATCCCCTTTGATGGAAAGTCAAGGGACAGACCTGTACCCCTTCCCCTGAGAGTTCTGACCCCTGGAGGAAGCAAATCGCATTTGGTCAATACATTGATGTGTGGCCTCGCAAAGCAGCTGGCTTTGGAACGTGCATTCTTAAGGGTACTATGGAACATTATGGAACCTGGCCATGGGAAATCTCCCCTTTAATGATTGTATTTCTGGAACGTCATCCAGAAATTGTGGGGCAAGGGGATTGTCCATTTCATTGCATGTCCATGTTTGAGTACCCGAGAGGCCCGAGAGCAGTCTGAATCTTCGTTTCACGTAATTGTCGCCAAATTTGGGACACCACTCATGACATTGGTCACATGTTCACAGATGTTCACAGACCACTTCTGTTATCTGAAGCTTGCCAAGAAACGTACTGCGTACCAGGCTTAACACACTGTT